TAATTGTAAAGCAGAGTGAAATCTAGAATTAAGTCTAGGAACATGATATAAAATCCTGGAAACTAACGAGTTTGCATTTAAAGTGTTATACAATAATTTTAAAAAGGAATATAATTAAAGACATAATTCTCTTACGACAGAGACTATTAAAATTAAAACAAGAAAGCAATACTTCTTGAGGTGTGCCACGAGGAGGATAAAATCCATAACTAATAAAATGAATAGTCTTTAAAAATCTCCGTTGTACTTTTGCTAATTATTGAATATTATAAACATTATAAATGGCACTCCAAACAAGCGATACATAATCAAGTTTGCAACGCACAAATGCAATATATTTAGAACGTTTACTTTCTGAAAGTCCTTAGAATTACGCAAAATAAAGCCTAAATTCTTATAAGCAGATTTGATTACTAAACTAATGTGCTCGTCAAATGATAATCTAGTATCAAATGTAACACCAAAGTGAGTAAATTGCGTAACTCTATTTAAAAAAGATTCACCAGTTTTATAAACAAAATCTAGGTTAATTTTGCATCGACTGTAAGACATAATTTTACATTTGCCTACATTCAAAGGTCAATTATTACATAAACACCAACTGTGTAATCTGTGATTATCTTGTAATTTAGGACAATCAGTAGAAGATTTAACTTCCAAGAACAACTTCAGGTCATCCACAAGAATAAATAGTTGACATCGAGGCATTCAGTTAAGTTATTAATAAAAAATAACAAACAGCAGTGGTCCCAGGATTGACCCTTGCGGAACGCGTGAAGATTGATGGAATTTACATATTGAAGTTTTAACTGAATACTCACTTCATTGTCATGAGATCTTTAGCAGAAATGTTCCACAAGGGACTGTCTGAGGTGATTTCGTGTACTACTTCAATAGGCCAGAAAATCATTCCGTATGGTTGCACTTCCAGTTCACTAATATAATTTGGTAATATTTCACTTTGCACGGAAGTGTTACTGTTTATATAAAACATATTAACTTGGTTTTCAATCCAATGTTTTCTCAGAATATCGTTAATTCTAATGATCAAGCATAGCTTTCCGTTTCGCAGGTTAATCTGAAAAATAAATGTCGGTAGAATAAAGAAATGGAAGAAAGAAAGAGTGAGTGGTGATATATGTGGTATTAAGTAGTCCTTAATTAAGTCAGTAATGAGAAATATGGGAAAAACGCTAGCATCTAATATAAAATAAAAATGGAAACATACTAATGAACGAGAAAATCATTATGGAAAAGTGTAAAAAACTTGTATAAGGCTTATTCTAGAAAACAGAAAATGGGGGGTACTTACAGGAAGTCCAAGAGCAAGATATCAATACAGGAGAACACAGAAGAGATAGATAGATATAGATAGTCAAGAGTAATTAAATGACGTTTTAAGAAAACTGAAACTAGAAAAGGGGACAGGAGAGAATCATTGATAGTAGAAATGATTAAATATATAGGGTGTCCGGAAAGGTCATGTCAATAATGTAATACAGAGGTGGTCAATATAGATATAGTACTTCATATAATTTTTTTCCTATCAGGCTTCAAAGAAAGAAGTTTAAAAAACAAATTCCAATTATAACTTCTAATCGGTACAATGACAACAATGAAATTTGGTCAATTAAAGTAACTCATGAAAATGTTCATATCGAAGTTTAAACTGATATACAATATGTCTGGATTATGCAAGAGCAGACGAAATTATTCATTTAAATTTATACATCTTTGACAGCGTTACCAAATTTGACAATTTTCTTTCATAGTTCGATTCCTCTCTCACTTTGCTAAAAAAAATGTATACCGTATATCAGTCGATATCTTATACCGTTTTTTTAGAAAATCGAATTTTATTGACAACATACATTTATTGGTCAAAAATGTGATATTAACATTTTTGTAATAATCTTGGTTTGTATAGAATTAAAAAAAGAGAACTGTTAAGTAAGATGTTCAATATACGCACCTTGAACTTCAAGGCATTTTCTGAAATTGCTCAATCACCTCTGCTCTAAGTCGAAGGCAAAGTCAAAGGGGTTTGATAAACAAGACTTTTAAGATAGCCCCAAAGAAAAAATCGTGATCGAATTAAGATTGGGAGACCGAGGCGGCTACGGAAAACGACTACCTCGACCGATCCATCGATTGGGAAATGTAGTATTTAAATAAGCTCTTACTGCCCTGCTAAAATGGGGTAGTGCACCATCAGGCATATGCCACATGTTATTTCAAATATTTAAAGGGACGTCTTCCAATAACGGGTTAAGGCGTTCTTACAGTAAATATAGGGTATTTATCCCCATTTAAAGCATCATCAATGATATGTGATCCCACTAAGTAGTTTCCAATTATTCCCATCCATACATTAATGATAAATTTTTGTTAGTGTTTTGTCTGAACAATAACATGGGGATTTTCGTCACTTCAAATATGTAAATTCTATTTGGAAAGCAGCTATCGTAAATCCGAACAGCTTCAGAAGCTGCAAATTCTTCATAGCTAAAATCCTCCATGATATCGAATTAGCAAATGGTGTCAAAATGATTTACGACAAATATCTAACTGCTAATTATACATACTTGTTGATAGTAATGTCAATTTCCAAAGAAACCAAAATTTTTACAAAAATATTAATATCGCATTTTTGATACATACATGTATGTTGTTAATAAAATTCTATTTTCTCAAAAACGGTACAAGTTATCGACTGATATATGATAAACCTTTTTTTAAGCAAAGTGAGAGAGGAATCTAACTATGAAAGGAAAATGCCAAATTTGGCAACGATGTCAAAGATGTATAAAAAATGAACAATTTCGTCTGCTCCTATATAATAATAATAGCATATTGAATGATAATTGAATGATGTTTAAATGATAAGTTACTTTAATTACCCAAATGTCATTGTTGTCATGGTAACGACTTAGAAGTTATAATTGGAATTTGTTTTTCAAACTTATTTCTTTAAAGGCGAATAACTCCACAACGAAGCTCAATAGGAATGGCCTTTCCGGACACCCTGTGTAGATGTAGATACTTTTAAATGTACCTAATCAAGCAATGAAAGAAAAGGTAGAACTGAAAGACAAAGTATGCAGCAACTATGAAGCGATCAGTTTGGAGACCGATGTTAGAATTTTGTAAAACAGGTTAAAACAATATGTGACCAAGACGTTCAGCGATATTAAAAAGAAAAACGTATAGAACAATATCTGGTGGACATGAAGACAGTTTGAATGAAAATACAGAAAACTATTTAAGAGTTGGAAATGAGAAATCAACAAATTTCAGCAATAGAATATACCAGGGATGAGGCTGCATATTAAACCCATTGCTCTTCACTTTGCTTTTGAAGCTAGTAAGATAGAAAGAAATATGATGGAAGAATTTGGAGATGGAAGTTCGAAAAAGAAGGGAGTAAAATGAAAGAAAGTCAAAACGAAGGCCAGAAGAAAGACAACAATGGATATCTTTACACCTAAAAAGAAGACTTCTATGTTGTGATAAAAGGAAAACTATAACTCAAAAAACATAATTACAAAATAACTGAATGAAATTTCTCATCTAACCTTTAAAATATAAGAAAAAAACTTACTACAAAAGTAAAGTAAAACATACCACAGCTTTCTTACTAAAGATGGTCAGCTTGTATGTAGGCTGTCCAAACTTGGCATACACCACAGACAAAAATGCTCCATCTATAAAAATTGTCATTATAGTGCTACATGTGAAAATAATGAAGACTAAATAACAGAACTCAGAAGGACGGAAGTATCCATTCCCTGCTGTTGTTATGGTCTCGATACCTAACATGAAATAACTGGTGAAATTATTCATTCCTCTCAAGCAAGTTAAGTTTCTCCTCGGTTTCTCGAAATCTCCGCTAACCCAAGCGTCTAAAAAGAACAGTAGGCCGAATGTGATATAAATTACGACATTTATTAGGGCGATCACTAGAAGCAACCCGCGCCATCTCATATTCACTAGAGTGTTCCAAAAGTCGCTGATGTAACGGATGGATTTCTCTGGTACTCTACACAAGCGGATATTGATTTTGCCCTTCTTCTCCATTATCCTCGAATGGGTATATTCTATAGAGCATTTCACATTCCTGTAAGGAAATATAAAAGTTCCCAATATAAAAGTATAAATATAAAAGTTCCCAATGCACGTGAGTACGTGTGCAATTTAGGATCAAAATAGAATAATATAACGAAAGTTAACTCTGTCCAGAGTTGCTTCGTTTGGCCGCTAGAGGATGTCAAAGTTAATAAGTTTTTTTTTCCTTATGGCTCTGAAACACTATATCTGATTTAAGTGAAATTTGATATACCAGGGTTAGTACATTTAACGTGATAATATAGTAACTGCATTTATCGAAATGGGAAGGATATCACTATTCCTAAGCAAATTTGCTTGCAGTTTTTATTTTATCAAAAAATATTAGCTTTTTCCACCGCTCCGCTTTTTCAATTTATTTATTTTAACAGTTAATAATTAACTATTCTATTAGTACCACCAACGAATTTTTCAAAAGTTTGATTTAATCGATAACGAAACTTTTTTCACGAAATTATTGGAAATGATCAACCCTTTTGTGATACACATACATTAATAATAACTTTCGAACTTTTTAAGATTTTCCACATATTATGAGGGGCTATAAAAGCAATCATACAGGGGGTCCCGAAATTAAAGGGCAATATTTCTACAGGGTGTTCTATGTCGAAAAAGATTACTTTTTCTTTATATAAACGTGGGTCCAAAAATTCTTCCTAAGGAAGTTATAACCACTTAAAGGGGCCAATCTGATGATGGTTTTTTCTAAATAACTCTGAAACCAGTTGAGATAAATTTATAAAATTTGGTAACTAACTTAACTCTTACGTGCTCAGTCGGCTACTAAAACGAAATTTACAAATTTCGATCACATACGTTCCAACACTGGGGGGGAGGGGGTAAAATTTACCATAACTTTTTCATACGTTGACTTTTTTGACTTTTGACTGAAAATATGAAATTTCAGAGTTTTTTAGTCAAAAAAGGCACCGTTGGTTCATATTGGTAGAATGTTCCTTTTTTGTGTAAAATGCGTTTAAAAATAATATTACATGTGCTAATGTGCTGGAAATAGAAATTTTCAATATTTTTTATCATCACAGGTTTTGAATAACAAACATGCGTTTGGCGTCATTTGCATTGACAATTCAGTTCTTTACTCTTTGGGAGTTGTTATCAGTTGAAAATGCAATATGTTACGAATGTAGAGCTAGCAGATATTCATAATATCCATTTCCAGTCAGACGAAAATCCACGGACAATACGGCGCACAAATTTTCAAAATAGATTTGCAATAAATGTGTGGACAGGAATTTTAGGGGACCAGCATTCAGTTTCCCGTTTGTCTGAATGCAGAAGGATACTTAAACTTTCTGCAAAATGATGTAAGAAAACTATTGGATGATACACCGCTAAACGTACGCTTAACATTACACTATCAACAAGATGGGGCACCACCTCACTTTACCCATAATGTCATAAATTGGTTAAACGATCATTTTCCTGGCAGGTGGATAGGTAGAGGTGGTCCCATTCCATGGCCACCTCGGTCTCTAGACCTAAATCCTCTAGGTTACTTTCTATGGGGTAGGATGAAGGCTGTAGTTTATGCTACACAAATAAATCGTCTGGAAAAATTACAGATTCATTTATTTGGCTGCAAATCAAATCACACGAAATAATTTTGAAATTTTGAGTTCTTCTCGGGCAATTCGACGTCGAGCTGAAAAATGTATTCAGTAAAATGGAAATCTGTTATAGCATTTGCTATAAAAATTACTAGTGAAATAAAGATAAGTTTTATTAATAGTGTCGTTTTCAATTATTTTTATTAGTTTATTGTATTACTATTTAATAATTATTCCAATTGTTATTTTTAACTTTGTCAAATAATAATTTACTAAAAATAATAAATTTCTATGAAAATAACATTTCGCAAAAAGTAAATAACTGAACTGTCAATGTAAATAACGTCAAACGCATTTTTCTTATTCAAAACCTGCGACAATAAAAAATATTGACAATTTGAATTCCCAGTAATTAACACATGTAACATTATTTTTAAACGGATCTTACACAAAAATGGAACATTCTACCGATATGATCCAAGAGTGCCTTTTTTAAATAAAACTATGAAATTTCATACTTTTCAGTCAAAAGATAAAAAAGTCAACGCTTAAAAATGTTATGGTAAATTTTAACCCCCCCCCCCTCACGCCAAACGCATGTTTGTTATTCAAAACCTGTTATGATAAAAAATATTGAAAATTTCGATTTCCGGTAATTAGCACATGTAACATTATTTATAAACGCAATTTACACAAAAAAGGAACATTCTACCAATATGAACCAAGAGTGCCTTTTTTTACTAAAAAACTCTGAAATTTCATATTTTCAGTCAAAAAAGTCAACGCATAAAAAAGTTATGGTAAATTTCGTTTTAGTTGCGGACTGAACACGTAATAGTTAAGCTAGTTTTATAAATTTATCTCAACTGGTTTCGTAGTTATTTAGAAAAAAACACCAGAGTGGTCCGTAAGTGGCTATAACTTTCTTAGTAAGAATTTTTGGACCCACATTTATATAAAGAAAAAGTAATCTTTTTCGACATTTCCTGTAGAAATATTGCCCCCTAATTTCGGGACACCCTATATAACTTCTGAACTATATGATAAAACTATGCAAATACCTACCGTTAGGATATAAAAAATTTAGAAGATAGAAAAGCTTAAGAAAATAAAATTTCGTTAGTTCAAATTTAACTTTTACCTTTTATTGTATTTCTTTATAATCAGTGGAAGTTCACTTTGTTTCATTTGTAATAAGTCTTGCTTGTCACACATGGTAGAGGACAGCTCACTTACTGAAAGTTATTATTATCCTGTGTAACAATATTTTTTGTAAGATGATAAGATAAAACTAAAAATATCCAAACGAAATAAACGTATACTGTATGAAATAGTGTAGACTCAACGAGGTTTGTTAAATACATTAATTGTATTTTCAGATTCTCATCTATTTGAAATGCAATACCTCTCTGTCCAATTACATAAGTGGACAAGGATTTTGAATATTCTTAATTAAAATTATGTGTTGATAATATTCTAGCTTTTTATTTACTGTTAAAAGCATTTTGTTATTTTGTAGAATTAAGCAATAATTTGTGGTTAAGTTCTTTATTTTTAGTAGATTGGATTTCGAAAATCAAATCTATTAATTCTACTCAAATTTCACCCATGATTCCATACCAATAAGTCGACTGTAAGGCTCTAAAACGCTCCAAACGCACTCAGGTAGTACGTGTCCAAAGACTCATCTAGGCCACGCAAAGAACGCCGGTCAGGATTCGAAATGTTCACACATGTTTCGGATCCAACTATAGAACTTGTTCATGAAACCCAAAACCAGACAGACCCCACAACAGAACAGAAGACACTCACAGAGCCCGATGCTGTTGGTAGAGCGACCACCGCAAATCGCCAGGAATATAAGAGATATTTGTAATTTTCTGGGAAATGCAATAATAAAATTAGCGCAACTCATTAATAAGGACAAAGTGTCTGATCAGTACACATTTTAGAACTTTCCAAATTTCATATCATTACATTGCATATTGTCTATCACATGTATAACCAATCCAATATTATAATACATAAATGATTTAAAAAAACTTTTTATATTAAATACGAAAGAGTTATGAATTGTTGCAGGCTCAGGCTCAGAATTAAATCGTAAATCTAGCACAAAACAAAAAGTGCTAAAAAAATCAGCGCAAAAGGGTTCAAGCGAAAACGTCAATGTGTCTCCCAAATACAATGTTTCATAGGCGTTACCATCATTTATTTCTATTATAAAACCCATTAGAAGTCTTAAAAATTAACTGATTATTTATCCTTATTGTGAATTACTTATTGCGCCTATTACATGCTTTTTGACAATCTAAAATTCATATTGTACCTACAATTCAACTTAGTTCATCTGGCCGGTAATGTTGACAAAATGTAAGAGTTAACATTATACATTCTCGCAGAAGGTAAAATAGCCCTCACCAAAAATTTCAAACAAAATGTGGAAAGCAGAGAGAATAAACAATAGAATAATGAATCAATGAATACAATTTACGTAAACAAATTGCGTTTTGTGTTTTCGAAAATCAAAAATTTTACCTACTTTTACTTTCTCTCCCGATAGTACTTTAGTTTCCACCACTTGATCCACTAATTTTTTATACAGGGTGTCACCTAACGAATGTTACATACTTCAAGGGTATAATCCAGAACCCAAAAAGTTACATGGTGTTAAAATTTATTTTTTTATTTCTCCTTAACTCAAAACCCAGTTAACCGATTTGAACAAAATTTGCTGTTGTTTACTCTCTTCATGAAGTATGGAGTGATTATGTTTCTATTAGGTTAAATCATACAGGGTGTTCATTTTACTACAACCCTTTATGAATTTTCTTCTGTAACTTTTTTGTACGTTTAAATTCTTACACGCAACTATCAGAAATAGGTAGAGCATTTTATTCTACACAAAAAATGTATACCTATCAAAAGTCGAAATTATGCCGGGTTATGAAGATATTACAGAAAATTGTAACTGTATACAGGTATAGGGTACAGTACAGGGTGTTACGAAATTCGCGGACACGGACTCTGGGATCATGTTAAGTTAGATAAGGTCATAAAAAATGTCTCTATCATTTTTCAATCAGACCGATATATTTCGAAATACAGCAGTTTTAAATATCCAAAAATAATAAAAATTTTCAATTTTTAATCATTTGATAAACAATTATGACAAACGAATTGTTCAAAATTTCCACCACCTGCTACTAAACATGTTTCAGCACATTGTGCTATAGCTCGAACGGAGTTGCGTACCTACCATCTCAAGCGTTATTTGTTGTATTGTTTGAAACAGACAGCTTTAACAACTAATGACAATTCAGAAAGCATTTATCAATACTTTGACATCGTTAGAGTAGAGGCGGTCCATTTGCTTGGCCACCTCATTCTCCAGACCTAACGCCATGTGATTTTTTCTTTTGGGGATTCCTAAAAACGTTGACGTACAGAACACCAGTGGCAAATTAGAATGAATTGCAGAACCGCCTATTTCAATCAATACAGCAAATAACCCCAGAGGTGATACGCAACTCCATTAGAGCAGTAGCACAATGTGCTTAAGTATGTTTAACAGCAGACGGTGGAAATTTTGAACAATTGTTGTAACTCGTTTGTCGTAATTGTTTATCTAATGATTGAAGATTGAAATTTATAAATATATATTTTTAGTATTTTTGGATATTTGATACTGCTATATCTCGAAAAATACTGGTCTGATTGAAACTAGGACACCAGGTATTGTTAAGTTACAGCATATACTGTGGGTGAAATTAAAGAAATAATGTAAATATACTATTTGTTAAGTAAATATTTCCATTTAATGTTCATTGTTATGATATACATATGCAATTATGCCAAGGACATTTAAATAAAGGGGACTTATTTATTTACATTTCTAGATGAAGCCTGGTCTATTCACAGTCTAATTGTATCATTGTTGTCAGCTGTATAATTACACTGGAAATGTATTTAATATTTTTATCGCAATTTTCATCACAATTGTGAAAATTATTATTATAGGGCAGTATTATTAAGTTATGCATACAATATTGTTAAATTCTGTACATATTAAACTATTTTTCATTTTTCATATTTGCCATGTTTGAAGACTTGGCAACTACTCAATAATTTGTAGCGTGTTCCTCGTTCGTTCTGCCGTGGTTGGCAGAATATGGCGTCTCTTGTTAGAAAATAGTTGTGATTTTAGTAAGTGAAACGTGATTAGTGTTTATACATGTATTTTGGATAAACTTTTAAGGTGTGAATATGGTTAGACAGTGCAGAATTTGTAAGAAATTGGATTATAAACATCCACATCAGCTATCCTTCCACAGGTAAGCGTGCTTGAAGGTGACTTTGGAATGTATATGCAACTGTGGCCATTGTCGTGCGTGTGGGTAACTTTTATTTGAATAACGGTAAAATTTTATAAAACTGACTTGGTATTTTTTTAAAATTTTTGCTGAAATAGTAAGAAAACAATAATATGAACCACGTTTGGCCATTAAAATCAAAGGAAAATGCTGCACCACAAATAAGTTACAGACATTATTTATATTTAATATATTTATAGGTATTTCAATGTTATCCCTTATACCCAACATTACAAATTTTAATCATTCATCATTTTCATTTTCCTCTACGACAAAAACCTTTTCAAAAATATATTTACAATTTTACTAAATGCACGAGCATAAAAACTGAATAAATACAACAGCAAAAATATGGTGGTGGTTCACTTATACATAAAAATACCGAAGATGCAATCAACTGAAAGTTGCATTCATTCAACCATTTGATGTTCTCCTTTGGGAATATATTTTTATGTCTCACTGAAAATTTGCCTCAGTATTCTAAAAGTGAAATGTGAACGTTTTTAGGATGCTTGGGGATGGTGCAACAAGAAAGAAATGGTTACAGTTATTGGGATTCCAAGAAGTTATAAAAATATTATATATATTTATTATAAAAATACTGAGTAGCTGTTGAAATATATTGACTTAGGACTATAAAATATTTTATTTTGACCCATCCAAAATGTACGGCAATGGAGATGTAATCGCGCACATCAGTTGGATGAAAATAAAGCCCTCTGCTTTCCCCTTGTCTAGCTTCACCCAACATATGAGATAGACTGTGACATGCATAGTCCCCTTTATTTAAATGTCCTTGAATTATGCATATCTGCTGATTTTTCACTATTCTGTTGTTATTGGTGTAGTTAAGTAATAACATAAGTTTAGTCTGTTTTAAAATAATAATTCCCCCACTTAAATCACCCAGTTCGGAAACGGCAGCCTTTGCGCAAATAAATAGCAGTCCTTATTTCCTCTATTTCCATTCCAACCTCTTTGAGTTGCCGTAATTCGCATGATTAAGTATTTGATAAAAATTTATTGACGGAATCTACGACACAAATTAACAAAAAAAAAAAGAGTTCGAAAGTCAGTCCGGTTTCATTTTCGACAATCGGGAGGCTAAAAATCTCGAACAAAATCATATTCTTTTAAATTCCAAGAAAACGACTAAAGTAATTATGTTGAAATTTTAGTAGTTTTAGTTTTTGATTGCCCACAAACATATGTACAGGTCATCAAATCAAGCTCTCATTTTGCCACGCCTACATATGCGAAGTGGACATAGATCGCATATCTATCAAGAATCATTTGTGTATTTTCTTTGTGCGTGAACAGATCAAATGCATATTAACTGCACTGATACAATAAAATATGCAAAAGTAGGATTATTGATTTGACCTTATTTAAGTCTCAATAATCATATGATATAATAATGTGAAAAAAAATTGTAAATGTATTAGTCCACTATTATTTTTTAATGGTATAAAAATAAATTTATTATAGACTTCCAAAACATTACAATTTAGTCCACACCGTTCTCGTGTTATGAATCTAATTCTGCTAAGAACTCGAGCGTAAGTGTATCCTTTTCCTCTAAATGTGTTTTCTTTTTAATTTAACCCAGGTGCCGCTATACATTCAGATTTTTTTTATATTTGATTACCTGTACATGCCATAGGTTTTGTTTGACTCTGTAATATTCACTCCAACTTTTTTTACTTCTCAATTGAATTGCGAAAATGAAGCATCCAGGCACATGTTGACATGTACTTTTTCTGTTACTTAGTTTGTGATGTAAATCTATCTTTAAAGTTCGACGAAGCATTTTAGTTACTTCCTGTATTATAGGGTATATAATT